AAAAAAAAAAAAAATTACGTGCATCAAGGTCCTAATATGTTTAGTGTATGTACCAAATTTGAACAAAATCTGTCTATGCATAACTGAGATCCGGGTACGGAATGGTGAAAATGTGCGATTTTGATGCATTTTCGACTTAAAATGGCCGCTATTCGACTATCGTTAATCGGATCATGAAAAAATTGCATGTGCATATGTCCCATATAATGTGTGATGTATGAGTGAAGTTTGAACTTAATCGGTCCATGCATGTTCGAGATACAGGTGATCACGGACGCACGGACACACGGACGCACACAGGGCAAACCATAAGTCCCCGTTTTCGGACTATGTCCGAATGGGGACTAATTATAATAACAAATTAGTTAAAGAACAATTTGACAAACTAGTACTAAATTACTGAATAGTACAGAATCAAGTGGTTTACTATTATTAGTTAATAGAAATCTGTTTGCATTATAAACACGCCAAGATTAATGTGGCAGTTTGTCATAATGTAAATGAATTTATCAGAATGATTTGAGAAGGTAAAATTAGGATTATCCGTTTGTAAATCTGTGAATAGTTTCCGTTTCATTTCATTGTGCTTTTGGCAGTCCATAATGTAATGGTACTAATCCTTAACTGAGTTTTTATCACATCTTGTACAAATTCTGTTTTGTTTTCGACCTTTTTCAATCAAAAGTTGATGATCACTAATTTACAAATATATTTCCTATAATTATAATTGATATGCAAATTATTTATATACAGCCATATTTACCAGAGACAGCACAATTAATAACATAACTCATCTGGCTTTGCTTTATTTTTCCAAGTTAGGATTATATTTTTATCTATAATTTCAACTTACTTTTTGTATTATTCATTGAGATTACACTAAGGAGACATATTTGAGTCAGATGAGGTAAAAGTTACACTCAAGATGTACTATACAACCATTTTTGTTATTCTTGATTAAACACATCAGCATTCACAAAATGACTACTTGAGTAGTGATAATAAAATTATTTTGGAAATAATAAATTTCAATGAATGTAAAATGTTGCAACTTGCTGTAACATTGGCAAAATATTTATTGCAATAAAGTACTTACAGCAGAACGCTGCGTGATTAACTGTGAAGCATTGAATTTTGCAGTGACACTTTTGAGAACTTCATTAATAATAGATGGCAAAACCCTATCGTCATAATCTGAGCCAACAAGACGGTACATTTCAGGCAATGCCATAGCGTCTGGGCGATGTAGAACACGTAAACCGATATTAACAATCTGTAAATCTGAAAACAAAAACAATATCGTCATAATCTGAGCCAACAAGACGGTACATTTCAGGCAATGCCATAGCGTCTGGGCGATGTAGAACACGTAAACCGATATTGAAAAACTGTAAATCTGAAAACAAAGACGATAAT